TTACGCCTAGAATGCCCAAGTCCAGCTCAGGTCACTAGAGACTTACTTCTGTCTGCAGTGAATTTGGTCTCTCAGTCCAATAAGTGTCCATTGCATAAAACTGCTGTGTCTGGTACTGATTGACGCTCACAGTACCCACCTCATGCGAGGAGCCAGTGAGCTATGGAGACTCTCTCTTCTCACCTCCCTGGGTTGCCCTAGGTACCGTGACCCGGAGATACCTGCGTTGCTCTTCCGGGTGCTGGCCCTGTTGTGTGGCTAAACAGAGAGTTCCAGGCATCCAGGAGCTCCGACCAGCATCTTCCACCAGCGCTAAATACATCTAATGAGCTGGTTAGATTTTGAAGTCCCGTAGTCTTTTGGGATGGGCTGTTTTGGGATGCGAGGAGAGCAATGCCGAATGTGTGGGGATGGATCTTTCTCTTTCACACTGTGTTGATGCTGTGCGGTTGAGAGATATATATGTTCCCCTTGATTGTACAAGAGTGTGTCTCCATAGTAACAAGCTTGCTGAGCTGCACTCAGGGGTGCGGGGACAATTTGTATAGTGGGGGCGGGGGGCTGAGAGCCATTGAACCAAACTGTAAATGCTATATATAATGGAAACCACTTCAAGCCAAGGGGCATGGCAGCACCCCCAGTTCCGGCACCCATGGCTGCACTCCCAATAACGCCATCGCGCCTGAGGTGGAAGGAGTTAATTCCTGATCCCAGCAGCTTTCCTTACAGTGTTCAGCAGGCAAAGGGATTGTGATAGGCAGGGGCACCGCTGAGTGTGGGAGGAAAGAGACTTATGTTTGGACCTTTTACCTAATTTCCTAAGGTTCAGCCCTGAAAGCCCTAGCAACAAGCTAACAGCAGCCTGATTGGAGGCTCCTCCCAGCTCCAGGCTGCCCTTCCAACCAGAGGCAATCAGATGAGCTGCCTCCACTCTGCCAAAAAGCAGTTTGATTTGGTTCAGTACATTCTACCTTCCCCTCATTCAAAGGAGGAGATCAAATAGCATCATCTGGGATCCAAAACTGAAAAATTAGTGAGGATAGCAATGTGGGAGCTGTGTTGGGGATTAATGTAGTTGAGTGACTATTTGCTAGCAAATTCTATAGCGAGGGTTGCAATTTTATAACCTCCTTGTTTCTTACCAAAAAAAAATTTCTATTTTGGACGAAAGCTGTCAGCTGGTTTTGAGTTGCAAGTGTATGGAAAAAAATATACTTCCCTTGCTGTAATATTGCAATATATTCCCTGTCCCCTATACCAATAAGACAAAACTGTGTGAGGATTATGCTTGTGAGTGGAAATTAACAAGGTGATGGAAATTTGAAAAGCTGTTATTATGTAGTAAGATGTGCATGGCACTGTCCAGACAAATAAAAACCAGTGTTTCCCTGCAAGGAGCTTTAAAACCTGAGGAACCTGATCCTGCAAATTCTTTTCATGTGAGTAGTCCCAACGGAATCCTGCGATAATAAAGATCTGCAGCATAAATTAGATGTAACTGCAAGAAATGACAATAGACCAAAGACAGAGGAAGGTTTATGGGGCAATGAGGGTTACAAGAGATCATGAGTTGTTGTTCTTGTTGTATATGCAGCTTGTTAATTCATCTTATGAATTTATTTCTGTTGCTCAAACTTCAAATTCAAATCCAGGCAGTGCTGAAGCTAGAAAAAATATAATGTGGCTCTAGGCAGAAAAGGAACCCTGTAAAATTTGCATCTTCTTACTCAGCAGATCTGTGTACATTCTGAATCACAGCTGCACACTTTAATGACACATGCATTTTATTATTTGGTAGCCTTGTACAGTGTATAAGAAAATGAGCTAGATTTTATTCTGACTCATGTAGAATTGACATTAAGACACAGTAAACATAGAAGATCTTGGCAATCATTTCGCAGAGCAAAAATATCCTTTAAGCCGAATTGATGAACTTTTCAGGTTATCTGCATGTGAAAACAGAATTATAATAAAACCTGTCAGGTGCTGTAATTGTTGTTGGCTTTTCCGGGGAGTGTGTGTGTGTGTATTTATATATAAAATATATATGGAATAGCTGAACTGGTTAAAAAAATCAAATTCCCTGCCCCAGAACTTTTGCCCCCTCCCTGCTCATTCAAAACTCTTGAGGTTGAAAGAAGTTTGGTTACGTTTATTTCTATGTGCTAGAACGATGTTATACAACATGCAGCCACAGTAGCAACAGCACCTTCCTTTGTTGATTGCCTTCTTCTCACCAAGGCCCTCATTTGGCAAAGCGCTTAAACAGGTGCTTAACTTTAAATCAATGGCACTTAAGTATATGCTTAAAGTTAAGCATGTGCTTAAGTACTTTGCTAAATCAGGACCTAACTCCTCTCCAGTGTGGGATGGCCTCTTATAGTAACTTTTCCCACAGCATGCCTTTCTGGGCCTGGTCCTTTAAATTTGGCAGGGTTTATTGCATTAGTGTCTTTTCCAGATGGTAACTTTTCCAGCTGCCTGTGGTGGTTTTCCTTTTTCATTCTGGAGGAGATGGCACATTCTCATTAACCTCATTTATTTTGCACTCCGTTCTGAACTTCTGACTCCTGCTGGGAAAGGGAGAGCCGATGTAACGTAGGGTTTCTCCAGCTTAACTGGAATCAGGAACTTCCCCCACATCACAACTGTTGGAACAATGTCTCCCTTCAGAGCCTGCTAATGCTTCCCCTAAATTAACCCATAGGCATAGAGTTGTGAACAGTTCAAGGCACTTTTATTCCACATCCCCTGGAGGATCAGCACTTGTTGACTCAGCTTCTATGGGACCTAAGAGCAAGTAGTTAAGTCTCTTTGAAAATACCAGATGTAATTAGTCACATATCCAAAACTTTAGGCCATTTAATAATAATAAAAGTGTTCAATAAATCCAGAAAGTGACTAGACCACACTGTGAATCAACAGTCTGTCAAAAAACCATGTAGTGGCCTTAGGTCAACTTGTACTTTTTATAGGTTGTAATCCATGCATTCTCTTTGGATATATAGAGAAGAGGGATCCCAAAAGGTGCTGAATAGGGCTGGTTGAAAATTTGCCATCAAAACTGTTTGTGATGGAATATTTGGGTTTGTCTACTAAACAAAGTTTTTTTTTCCCCCCATGGAAAATTTTGACCTTAAATTGAAAACCCACACACTGAAAATTTCTACTCAAGAAAACAAACCCCAAAAGCTTTTGAAAAATTGTGATTTGGGGTTTTTTCCCAACAGAAGACCAAAACTTTCTATGGGAAAAACAATTAATTTTCTGACCAGCTCTGGTGCTGAGCACTCTCAGTTGTTTCTGACTTCAATGGGGAATGAGGGTTCTCAGCACCCTGCAGGATTGAGCCCATAGGCAATGGTAGGATGCTCAGCAAATCTCAATGGTGCTGGCAGCTGCTGTGAAAGTCGGTACCTGGTTTTTCTAAAGTGCACAGATCACTAGTTCCTCTGCTCACTAACACATGCCTGGAGGTTGTGGCATGACTGACTGTGAAAGACAAGGGACTAGTCAATGGTTTGTAGATATAAAAGTCTGGATTCTATTCTCACAGTGAAGTAATCCTGGAGTAACACCATTGATTTTAAATGGAGTTAGTCCTGATTTATACTAATGTAAACTGGAGCCGAATTTAGCACCAATTGCTATATTGTATGACCCTGATAAACCTGTCACACCTAGATACCAAGATATTTCTATACCTAATGTATAAAGCCATTTGCACCTTTTGAACCACTAGTAAAGACAAGCTATGGTATTTCTGTGCCAGCATCCAACTTTCTGCCTGAAATGCCTTTTGAAGTGGGCTTCCCTCTGCATCCCTTCCCCATCCAATGCCAAAGGGATCATTACTGGGTTGATACAGCCAGCTCCAAACTGAATGACTAAGGATGAAGATGCTTGTAAAATAAACTTGGGGATTGTATTGATTAGGACCTGATCACACCTTTGCCTAGCCCTTAAACCAAATTTGTACAGGACCTATTTTGAAGTGTGGTTGCTTTGCATGTGCTATTGCATTAGTGCAAAGCACATGTTCTCGCTGCAGTTCTGGTCCTGTTGAATATGTTGGCAGTTTCTTGAGGGAGCCCATTCTCATGAGATGTCTAGACCCAGGAGGGTCGGCTAGCTCTGTTAATGTTTAGATTGGCTTCCCAACCTTTGGATGTTAGTCTTTTCACCCATCACTATGGCAACAGATATGGCAATTATTCAATGAGGTTTGCGTCACTGTGGGCCAGTATATAATTCCATGGTGTGGGGACAGGTAGCTAGAGCCCTCCGGGAACTAAGAACAGTGAGGGGTGATTAGGCAAATTCACTCAGGTTGTAACATCTCCAGAGAGATGCCACCACCAGGAGAGGCTTGCATATACTGATTCAAACTGGATTCTCCAGAGACCACCACACAAAGAAAGGACTTTGGGATAAATAGCTTGAGTTTAAACTGACTCAGGGCCTTCATTCTAATCAAGCAAATGGACAGAACCTTCTGTCCAAGGGAGGCCCCAATCCTTCCGGGGAAGGGTTGGGAGAACTTGACCTATTCATGGGGGTGCTTGTTCTGAGCTAACAGCTGTTATGAACATGTGACCACAAAAAGCTCCTTGGTGGGGGTTGAAAGACTGATCACCTGCCAGAGGTGGGGTGATCTCTGGTAAGTTTATTAGCATGTGTGTAGGTTCTTCTATTATTTTCATGTTTTCTCTGTAATGCTTTTACCTTAAGAATAAACATGCTTGCTTAGAAAGGGCTGTGTGGTAACCTATAGCTGTGGGCAATTATGCTGTTTATAGCCACTGAGGAGCAAAGCAGGCCTGCTTGGGCAGTCTGGCTTGCTGGGGATAACACAATGTAGGCAAAAAAGAAAAGGAGTACTTGTGGCACCTTAGAGACTAACCAATTTATTTGGTTAGTCTCTAAGGTGCCACAAGTACTCCTTTTCTTTTTGCGAAGACAGACTAACACGGCTGTTACTCTGAAACAATGTAGGCAGGGAATTGTGCAGCCTAGAAAAACCCTTGTCAGGAGTGGGAGAGATGTGGGCTTCTGCCTAAGAGATGTGACAGCTAGGGAGCAGGAAGCCTAAGGGTAGGTGCCCTTGGTGGACCATAGAAAGGGAATGCAGATGTAGTTGCCCTGAACTGTCTCAGCTATAAGTGACATAAAGCCTTTAGAGGCCATTTGTCAGTTTCATAGCTAAGTGGCCAAGAAATCAGATTCCTGACCTGTACTCAAGAGCTGCTGCTCCTAGATATTTGTGAATATGAATAGGGATCTAATCAGGCCATGTTCAACAAAGGAACGCAGAGATGTTAATTGTCTGTAGAACTTTAATGAATAAACAGCATTCCTTCCTATTCCTTATTTATCTACTTCTAAATTCCAGTGGCTACTTCTAATGATAACATGCAAATTTGGTAGCTTACGGAAAAGCCGCATTTCATTGATACAGGGATCTGATGGAGTACAATTCAGTATGGCATATACTGGTTTTCTATAGGTTGCAACATATCGTGATTATAGCACTGCAACCATGTGTTAGGATTAAATGGCATTTTTCTTAAGGGAAAGGTGTGGTCTTCTGCTCAGAGTTTGAGACTGGGAGTCAGGAGACCTGGGTTCTATCTCTGAATCCATTACTAACCTCCCTGTGTCTAGCTGATCACCTGAAAAATAAGGGAATGAATAAAAGTCTAGTCCCCCATCACGTTGGGATCCAGGAATGAGGGGTGCTGCACAATTCTAATTCTTAAGACAATAAATAGAGGACTTGGTAATGGGATAATAGAGAGCTTCACCTGCCCAAATCCAGCCGAGCTGGGTTGTGACCAAACACTGTTGTGAGCACCTGGTAGTTGCTTGAAGATCTATACTGTATGAAATGAGTTCAGTAAGTTTGGTCCAGCACCTAACAGACAGGTGTCTGCATCCCCCAACTCCCACAGCGAGTTCCAAACAGTGCGCTCATTGCTAATCTCAGGAGAGGCCAGGGACTGGATGGCTCATGGCAACTGACCTACCTTCTCAACCCAGTGTTAAGGGATGAGATGCTTTGGCCAGACAGCGTGGGGGAAGCTTGTGCTGCTGCTGTCTGCACTGGACAGGCTCTGAGGATAAACACAGGGCATGTGTCTCAGAGCTGTCAATCCAGCTCTCATTTCACATAAAAAGGTAGTTAATATCTCCTTCCCCCACCACAAGTCTCTCCATTTTCTGTTCTGGTTGCACCCAGCCAGCCTTCAGTTTGGTAAGGGCGGAGCTTTGTTTTGCATGGACTCAAAGCCAGCTTTGGAAAAAAAATCACAGCAAAAAGCTCTCCCTTCCATAAAGCAATAAACAAGTTCAGTTCCCAGATGTGCAAGAGGGAAATGCCCAGCATGCTTGTTCCTGAACTCTTCCCTTCCAGATGTGAAACGGTGAGGAGCCGTGACAGCAGCAGCTTTCTGGACAACAACATGGCTCTTTAATAAAAAGTCCATGGCGGGAGCCCCGGAGGAAGCCCAGAGGCAGCTGATAGCTAGCCAGGAAAAAGGCTGCATGGGGAACATAGAGTGGAATTTTCCTCTGGAAAACCCTTTGAACCTCACTGCTTGGAGTCAGTGGTAAAATGGTTTTGTCTCATTTCCATTTGATTAACTGTTTCACAATAGCTGGGCTCGGTCTTTCCATGCTGTTGGGAGGCGGCTTTGAGCTGCAGGCAAAGAGGGGTTACGGAGGAGATTTCCTTCCTTTTGAACTCCTTCCTTTGTGACCAAGGCAACACTTGAATCCCCACCCTGCTATGCAGGCTGGAAAGAACTAACCTAGTGGGCCAGATTCTCCCCTGGGCAAATGCACCGCAGGGCTGGCTTGACTTGCTCCTTGGGGAGCCCGAGGCAGAGAGCCGTATGTCACACCCACACACCACCTTGACATAAGGAGAGTGGTGGAAGCATCTCTATGTTCAGGCTGTTCCTGGCTACTGGAATGGCCTGTTGGCTTGACAAGGGACATTGGCTACCTGGGAGACCCTGCATCTACCGCATGGCATTCAGTGGTAGCTGCAGTCAGCTAAGGTGCTCAGCTTATGCAAGAGGCTGTTCTTGAAGCAGGAGTCCCTGGGGAGCACAGGGTTGCATGCGGACTATAGTGCCTTTACACCTCCGGATGCTGGCTCAATCCAACCCAGCAGCTGGATCCTACACACTTTACTCAGGTAAGTAGTTCCCTTGACTTCAATGGGGCTACTCATGGTAGTAAGTGTTGTAGGACTGAGTCTTGGGGTTGGTGACAGGGACCCCAGGACTGTGTGCAGCCTAAGCCCTGGTCTACACTAGGACTTTAGGTCGAATTTTTGCAGCGTTAAATCGATGTAAACCTGCACCCGTCCACACAATGAAGCCCTTTATTTCGACTTAAAGGGCTCTTAAAATCGATTTCCTTACTCCACCCCTGACAAGTGGATTAGCACTTAAATCGACGTTGCCGGCTCGAATTTGGGGTACTGTGGACACAATTCGATGGTATTGGCCTCCGGAAGCTATCCCAGAGTGCTCCATTGTGACCGCTCTGGACAGCACTCTCAACTCAGATGCACTGGCCAGGTAGACAGGAAAAGAACTGCGAACTTTTGAATCTCATTTCCGGTTTGGCCAGCGTGGCAAGCTGCAGGTGACCATGCAGAGTTCATCAGCACAGGTGACCATGATGGAGTCCCAGAATCGCAAAAGAGCTCCAGCATGGACCGAACGGGAGGTACGGGATCTGAACGCTGTTTGGAGAGAGGAATCCGTGCTATCAGAACTCCGTTCCAGTTTTCAAAATGCCAAAACCTTTGTGAAAATCTCCCAGGGCATGAAGGACAGAGGCCATAACAGGGACCCGAAGCAGTGCCGTGTGAAACTGAAGGAGCTGAGGCAAGCCTACCAGAAAACCAGAGAGGCGAACAGCCGCTCTGGGTCAGAGCCCCAAACATGCCGCTTCTATGATGAGCTGCATGCCATTTTAGGGGGTTCAGCCACCACTACCCCAGCCGTGTTGTTTGACTCCTTCAATGGAGATGGAGGCAATACGGAAGCAGGTTTTGGGGACGAAGAAGATGATGATGAGGAGGAGGTTGTAGATAGCTCACAGCAAGCAAGCGGAGAAACCGGTTTTCCCGACAGCCAGGAACTGTTTCTCACCCTAGACCTGGAGCCAGTACCCCCCAAACCCACCCAAGGCTGCCTCCTGGACCCAGCAGGCGGAGAAGGGACCTCTGGTGAGTGTACCTTTTAAAATACTATACATGGTTTAAAAGCAAGCATGTGAAAGGATTACTTTGCCCTGGCATTTGCGGTTCTCATAGATGTAGTCCTAAAGCCTTTGCAAAAGGTTTCTGGGGAGGGCAGCCTTATTGCGTCCTTCATGGTAGGACACTTTACCACCCCGGGCCAGTAACACGTACTCGGGAATCATTGTAGAACAAAGCATTGCAGTGTATGTTTGCTGGCATTCAAACAACATCCGTTCTTTATCTCTCTGTGTTATCCTCAGGAGAGTGAGATATAATTCATGGTCACCTGGTTGAAATAGAGTGCTTTTCTTCAGGGGACACTCAGAGGAGCCCATTCCTGCTGGGCTGTTTGCCTGTGGCTAAACAGAAATGTTCCCCGCTGTTAGCCACAGGGAGGGGGGAAGGTTGAGGGGGTAGTCACGCGGTGGGAGGAGGCAAAATGCGACCTTGTAACGAAAGCACATGTGCTATGTATGTAATGTTAACAGCAAGGTTTACCCTGAAAGAGTGTAGCCACTGTTTTATAAAATGTGTCTTTTTAAATACCGCTGTCCCTTTTTTTTCCCTCCACCAGCTGCATGTGTTTCAATGATCACAGGATCTTCTCCTTCCCAGAGGCTAGTGAAGCTTAGAAAGAAAAAAAAACGCACTCGCGATGAAATGTTAGCCGAGCTCATGCTGTCCTCCCACACTGACAGAGCACAGACGAATGCGTGGAGGCAAATAATGTCAGAGTGCAGGAAAGCACAAAATGACCGGGAGGAGAGGTGGCGGGCTGAAGAGAATAAGTGGCGGGCTGAAGAGAGTAAGTGGCGGGCTGAAGACAGGGCTGAAGCTCAAATGTGGCGGCAGCGTGATGAGAGGAGGCAGGATTCAATGCTGAGGCTGCTGCAGGACCAAACCAGTATGCTCCAGTGTATGGTTGAGCTGCAGCAAAGGCAGCTGGAGCACAGACTGCCACTGCTGCCCCTCTGTAACCAACCGCCCTCCTCCCCAAGTTCCATAGCCTCCACACCCAGACGCCCAAGAACGCGGTGGGGGGGCCTGCGGCCAACCAGCCACTCCACCACAGAGGATTGCCCAAAAAAAAGAAGGCTGTCATTCAATAAATTTTAAAGTTGTAAACTTTTAAAGTGCTGTGCTTAAAGTGCTGTGTGGCATTTTCCTTCCCTCCTCCACCACCCCTCCTGGGCTTCCTTGGTAGTCATCCCCCTATTTGTGTGATGAATGAATAAAGAATGCATGAATGTGAAGCAACAATGACTTTATTGCCTCTGCAAGCGGTGATTGAAGGGAGGAGGGGCGGGTGGTTAGCTTACAGGGAAGTAGAGTGAACCAAGGGGCGGGGGGTTTCATCAAGGAGAAACAAACAGAACTTTCACACCGTAGCCTGGCCAGTCATGAAACTGGTTTTCAAAGCTTCTCTGATGCGTACCGCGCCCTCCTGTGCTCTTCTAACCGCCCTGGTGTCTGGCTGCGCATAACCAGCAGCCAGGCGATTTGCCTCAACCTCCCACCCCACCATAAACGTCTCCCCCTTACTCTCACAGATATTGTGGAGCACACAGCAAGCAGTAATAACAGTGGGAATATTGGTTTCGCTGAGGTCTAAGCGAGTCAGTAAACTGCGCCAGCGCGCCTTTAAACGTCCTAATGCACATTCTACCACCATTCTGCACTTGCTCAGCCTGTAGTTGAACAGCTCCTGACTGCTATCCAGGCTGCCTGTGTACGGCTTCATGAGCCATGGCATTAAGGGGTAGGCTGGGTCCCCAAGGATACATATAGGAATTTCAACATCCCCAACAGTTATTTTCTGGTCTGGGAATAAAGTCCCTTCCTGCAGCTTTTGAAACAGACCAGAGTTCCTGAAGATGCGAGCATCATGCACCTTTCCCGGCCATCCCACGTTGATGTTGGTGAAACGTCCCTTGTGATCCACCAGAGCTTGCAGCACTATCGAAAAGTACCCCTTGCGGTTTATGTACTCGGCGGCTTGGTGCTCCGGTGCCAAGATAGGGATATGGGTTCCGTCTATAGCCCCACCACAGTTAGGGAATCCCATTGCAGCAAAGCCATCCACTATGACCTGCACATTTCCCAGGGTCACTACCCTTGATATCAGCAGATCTTTGATTGCGTGGGCTACTTGCATCACAGCAGCCCCCACAGTAGATTTGCCCACTCCAAATTGATTCCCAACTGACCGGTAGCTGTCTGGCGTTGCAAGCTTCCCCAGGGCTATCGCCACTCGCTTCTCAACTGTGAGGGCTGCTCTCATCTTGGTATTCATGCGCCTCAGGGCAGGGGAAAGCAAGTCACAAAGTTCCATGAAAGTGCCCTTATGCATGCGAAAGTTTCGCAGCCACTGGGAATCGTCCCAGACCTGCAACACTATGCGGTCCCACCAGTCTGTGCTTGTTTCCCGAGCCCAGAATCGGCGTTCCACAGCATGAATCTGCCCCATTAGCACCATGATGCATGCATTGTCAGGGCCCATGCTTTCAGAGAAATCTGTGGCCATGTCCTGATCACTCACGTGACCGCGCTGACGTCGCCTCCTCGCCCGGTATCGCTTTGCCAGGTTCTGGTGCTGCATATACTGCTGGATAATGCGTGTGGTGTTTAATGTGCTCCTAATTGCCAAAGTGAGCTGAGCGGCCTCCATGCTTGCCTTGGTATGGCGTCCGCACAGAAAAAAGGCGCGGAACGATTGTCTGCCGTTGCTCTGACGGAGGGAGGGGCGACTGACGACACGGCTTACAGGGTTGGCTTCAGGGAGCTAAAATCAACAAAGGGGGTGCCTGTACATCAAGGAGTATTTCAGGCAGGACTTCACGGAGGGTTCCAATAAGAAATGGTGCACCTAAGTTATTGTTCTTATTGGAACAAGGAGGTTAGCCTGGCCTCTGACTGATACATGGCTAGATTTACCTCGCTGCACCTTCTCTGTGAGTGACTGCAGTGTGACCTAGAGGAATGAGTCCCCTAGACAGGGGAGGAGGCAAATGAGTACAAAACAAATCTGGTCTATTTCTTGTTTTGACCCACTCCATCTATCTTTTACATCTTTGGCTGGCAGTAGACGGTGCAGAAGGACTGCATGCCATCCACATCTCATGGCTGCTCGGCAAAAGATGGTACAGTACGACTGCTAGCCATCCCCATCTCTTGCCTGCCTGGCAGAAGATGGTACAATACGACTGCTAGCAATCCTCATCTCTTGCCTGCCTGGCAGAAGATGGTACAGTACGACTGCTAGCAGTCCGTATCGCCTGCCCGCTCACCATAAGACGGTTCAATAGGACTGACTGCAGGACTAAAGAGAATGACCTGGTCAAGTCACTCCAAATTTAGTCCCTGCGCCCATGTCTGCCCAGGCGCTCCCAGCCGACGTGGCCAGGAGCACCTCGGACATGACGATGACGGCTACCAGTCGTACTGTACCGTCTGCTGCCACAAGGCAAGGGGTTGCTGCTACTGTGTAGCAATGCCGTACCGCGTCTGCCAGCACCCAGGAGACATAGGGTGACGGTTACCTGAGCGGGCTCCATGCTTGCAGTGGTATGGCGTCTGCACAGGTAACTCAGGAAAAAAGGCGCGAAATGATTGTCTGCCCTTGCTTTCACGGAGGGAGGGAGGGAACGGGGGCCTGACGATATGTACCCAGAACCACCCACGACAATGTTTTAGCTCCATCAGGCATTGGGATCTCAACCCAGAATTCCAATGGGCAGCGGAGACTGCGGGAACTGTGGGATAGCTACCCACAGTGCAACGCTCCGGAAGTCGACTCTAGCCTCGGTACTGTGGAAGCGCTCTGCTGAGTTAATGCACTTAATGCACTTAGAGCATTTTCTGTGGGGACGCACACACTTGAATATATAAAACCGATTTCTAAAAAACCAACTTCTATAAATTCGACCTTATTCTGTAGTGTAGACATACCCTATGATAATCAGTGGTCTCTGTGGGATTAGTTGGGTGGTGTCCAATCACTGTTGTGCATATCACCAATCCTCCCCCCCCCCCGCCTCGCCACGTGACTTTCTTGTTGGCAGTCTCATCAGCTGTCCAAGGATTGAATGGGCCATGGTACCTGATCTAGCCTTTTCCCCCTAAATGGTGGTTCCTTCCATGGCAGGGGCAGAGCAGTGCTGGGAAGCTCACCCTGTAGCTGTCTGTTCTGTGGATGGACAGAGGAGTTCAGTATTCACAGCCTTCAGAAAGCACTGCAATTCACATGTGAATAACTTCCTCCTTCCCCTACAAGCCCTCACTGCTCCATGGCCAAGATGTTGGAGACCCAACCTGAGAGAACTTGCAGAGGCCTGTTTTTCAGAGGGTTTGTGCTCCAGTGTCTCGAAGAGCACCCAGAAATGAAAGCACCCCAAATTGTTCCTCACGTTTGAAAATCGTGGCCTTGTGTGTTTTTATTTGAAGAAGGAGAGCTCCAATCTCCCCTCCCAAATGCCATCCGCTGCCAGTTTGAGCTCTTGTTTTATCCCAAATATGGGAGAGGGCCGATTCTCCTTTTTCCTGGCTTTGGGCCCTCTCTGTCCCTTGCTGAGCCTGCGTCTTGCAGCTGGTGACACGGCCCCGAGGTAGAGCACTTCCACATGACCCAATTCGGGATTACCTAGCATGTGGAAAATTTTCTCTGACTGGTAACGTGTTATTAAGTGGCCAGCTAAGAATGCAGTTCACATTCAAAGATAATATGTGTTGACAAGAGACTGGCTGCTAATTGGACTTTTGCCTGTGCCTATGTGAATGTTCTTAATTAAAAAAGGGGGGAAGGCTGGGGGAGGGGGGAGAAAACCCAGATAAAATATTTAGTGGGGGGAGCAATGGAGACAGAATTTCTAGTGAGACTGAAAGCCCTCTAAGGAATGCACAGGCCGAGATACATATGCTTACACCAGAAGCCACTGACCCTGTTATTTCTTGTATCTGCAGCGCTAGCATGGTGGTATTAGACACTTGAAAATGGCAGGTCCCTGCCCCAGGGAGTTGCAATCTATGTGATGGGAATTTACAGACACTATCCAGTCTGTATTGTAATCCGGGTTCCTTTCTGGTGGCAGCGTGAACACAGGGTGCTGGAGCTGTGCCAGTTTAACTGACTGAGACTGACCAATAAAATAACCTGGCAAGTTAGATTTTTAAAAGTCTCATCAAGACACACATAGCTAATTCTCAGGTTTCAGAGTAGCAGCCGTGTTAGTCTGTATACGCAAAAAGAAAAGGAGGACTTGTGGCACCTTAGAGACTAACCAATTTATTTGAGCATAAGCTTTCGTGAGCTACAGCTCACTTCATCGGATGCTTATGCTCAAATAAATTTGTTAGTCTCTAAGGTGCCACAAGTCCTCCTTTTCTTTTAGCTAATTCTCAGAAACCCTTTATTGCTGCCTTCTTCTTCCCCTTTTCCTCTTTCTTTTTCTTCCTCCTCCTCTTCTTTATTATCTGTATTGTGGGAGCACCTAGGAGCCCCAGTCCTGGACCTGGACCCCCTGGTGCTAGGTGCTGTACAAATACAGAACAAAGCCCCAGAGGGCTTACAATCTACTTATTTTTAATTCTTTGTCTTGTGTCTGCTTTTTACAGTTGAAAATGTCTTCTTAATAAGTATGGACATGCTTTGTTTAGATGTTTACAGAAAAAAGATACTGCAGAAAAAATATTTGATACTTGGGCCCTGATCCTGCGAAGGATCATGCTGAGGAGCACATGCTGAGGAGAGGAGTATTCGGAATGAGTTCAACAGGACTACTCACATGCTTAAATTTAAGTATGTGCCCAAGCCTTTGCATGATCAGAGCCGCAGTTTCTTACTGTGTGTCCGTGTGCATGTGTGTGAATATTTATTACTAATTCTGTCTTGTACGCTTTTTTTTGCTGGGGTTGTATGTGAGTGAGAATTTTTGTTGATTTCTCGTATATCTGGTTTTTATTCTTCTGAAAACAGTCTTGAAATAACAAAAATAAAAAGAAGCAAAAAAAAAAGATTGTAAAAAAGTACAGACTTAATACTAACTCCTGCTGAAGGAATGAGGGTTCGAGTCTTAGTGTAGACAGGACTCCAGAGGTTTTAAGCACCATGTTGTCTCCTAGCACATTTTACGTGACACCGAGATTAAAACACCAGCGACCATGTCCACATTAACAATCCCACTGATGGTAGCAACCGTGTGAAATTTTAGGCAAAAAGGCCTTGTGCAGACAAGGCCTAAAGGGCCATGTT